AAAATAGAATCCGAGCTGAGCGACGAGAAGAAGTCACATAGTGGAATTCCAGAGGCACAATTTGTGGTAGAGTTTTCACTTAGATATATCTAGAATCAATGACCCGCTACGAGCTCATGTGTCAAAACTTTGTGGTTACAATGGAGTTGTGAGCCAAATATGGTCAGGATATGAGATTCTTGTCATCGTGTAAACCGTGATGAGAATTGATGTCCTCTTCTTCCATCAGTCATATTAGGTTTTCATTTCGGAGTTCTTTTCGAGAGTGGGGATATATATTTTTTTCTCAGTATAATCGCGATAGTACTCCGTTGACCCTTTAATTATTCATTTTCAATCTCCACAATCCATAAAGAAAAAGTTAAAAAGACATTACCTGACTCAATAAATACTTCAAGGCCAAGCGAAACTTACGATCTATCTCTCATTATAATTGATTAAAACAGAAAGGTAATTGAACAGAATAGTCGCAATGGGGGTTGTAACTCGGGGGTTGTAACTATAATATTTTAATCTTTCCACCAAATAATATATGTATGACCACTGTAAGGAAAGCATACTGAAAGGAAATCACCGAAATTCTCTATTTGTAATTATCATCAATTTCAGGAAGATGTCGATGCATTTATGGCTCAACCAGACAACAACAATGAAGTCGATAAAGTCCTGAAAAAACTCGACGAGAACCATGGCAAATACAAATTCATGGAGTACAACTTGGCAAACAAAAGGCGTAGACTGAAATCCCAAATTCCCGAGTTAGAGAGATCATTGGAGATGATTAAAAAACTCCAAGCAGAGAAAGACGGTAGTCAAAATATGGAGACCCAGTTTCTCCTGTCTGACCAGGTTTTCGCGAAAGCGATAGTTCCCCCGACAGAGAAGGTGTGCCTCTGGTTGGGAGCAAATGTCATGCTCGAATACACCCTCGACGACGCTCAGAATCTAATGGTAAAGAATATCGAGGCTGCTAAGAAGAATCTCAATCACGTTGACCATGATTTGGACTTTGTGAGAGATCAATTTACAACAACTGAAGTTAACATGGCCCGAGTTTATAATTGGGACGTAAAGAGGAGACAAACAACAAAAACGTCATAATATGCGTTATAAAAATCAGCTGTTCAGACTCTCATGCACTGTATTATCAAAAATATTGAAAGAAATTGGAATCCTTTACACAATTAATATGAAAATTTATTTATTTTATATATCATTTGATGATTAGCCGCTTCATATAGGTTTTTAATGCTAATAAACTTAAACACTGTATTTTTTGTCTTAGGATACTAAATTTCCCAATGATAAGCCAACGACGTGAGCAGAGTTATCTGTGAGCTACATTAATCATAAATTTTGGAATCTCATGGGAAATTTTCCAAATAATTATACTCTCATACTATTAAGGCACAAAGTTGGATAGATAGTTTGTGTTTAAAATGAAGACTAGGCACGGAATGGTTTGTTCGTAGAATGTAGGTTTTGTTATTCTGTCTATTCGTCACCACTGATCTCCAATTTGGCTAGTTTCGTTTTGAGCTCTCTATTCTCAGCTTTGACATCTTCAAGTGTTTTCTCAAGGCTCTCCACCTTCAGAGTAACGTCTGTTATGCCTCCTAGGTGTTTACGAATATATCTGAATTTTCTATTAAGGTCAGTCGATTAAGATTTTTCCAGCAATTTTTCAGAAATAATGAAAATCACGATGCCAAGAAAATCATCCAATTAATAATTATTAGTAAATGTCGAAGGATACTCCAAAGCGTCGTCAGGCTTCTCAGGCTCTTCATACAACATTACGAGAACCTTCGTCAGGGCATCCAGGACACCAGCACGCTCCAAATACCTTCTAAATTCCTCCCTCTTTGAGTCATTGGGCTAATAAAAATTAAGTCCATTTTTAGCATGTCTTAATGCTTTATACGAGGTTAATACTTGGAATGAATTTTATATATGAAATATAAAGATATGCTTAGGGATCACCTTGTAATTTGACATTTTTCCGAAATTTTATAGCCTCTTGCTTTGAAAAAATAGATATATCCGGATATTTGCAGATGCAAATACGAATGTTCTCCTTGAGATAAAAAAGAAGAATGCCGGGGGATAGGACCAAAGAGGATTGACTAAAGTAGAGGCTCAGTTCTGGGGGTTTGAGTGACCTCAGCGGCATCGTAGTACTGCACCCCAAGAGAGGGAGGACGCCACACGCAATGCTGGGGTGTCCATCAAGTCGACGGGGTGAATTTTATTTCCTGCGGTATGAATGCTTTTTGTTTTCTATTGGTTTAACTGAAATTTAGCCGACTGTAGAACGAGCGGAAGGAGGAAAAAAAGGAGAGATGATACCACACACAATGGGGGGTTAATTTTTTAATTTCAGTGAATACCGACTGGTCCCTCTGACAGCAGAGTTACCGAGTCGGCTGACGGGCAGACACCCCCATTGCCTGTGGTGCCCTCCCTCTCTTGGGGTGCAGTACTACGATGCCGCTGGGATCACTCAAACCCCCAGAACTGAGCCTCTACTTTAGCCTCTTCGGATCCGCGTACCTTCAGGTCCGACGGCCTGACTTTCGTCAAAAGCCCGATACTCGGCCATTTTCCTTACGACTACAGAAGGGGATGGTCGTTGCTCTTGTTGAATAAGAAGTAAGTACAATTCTTCAATAATCTCCCGTTTTTTTTTCAATTGTTTTACTTTTAAAATGATTCTTTATATTTTTAAATAGTTTTGAAGAAACAAAATCCAGCTTTATATCAGAAAAATTAACATAATTGGAAAATTCCTCGAAGTCGAGGTTAGGTTACCACGTGCCACGTTCTTTCTACCAAGATTGAAGAAATAATGCTCTCTATATTATGTACTTATTTTTTCGATGGGAATACGTAAAAATGAATTTATAATAGAATTGATGATATAAACGTGTGCATTTGCATATCCAGCCACTCTATCTCGCGGATTATACATATTTGAAAAATTTTTCTACTCCCATTACTTTCTTCTCTTTCTCACCCTATTTTATTATTAAATTAATCATTTGAAATGAGATCATGATGACCATTCCTTCTCAGCTGAGAGAAAAAAAATTATTTCTGAATTCAGTCCATCCATTTTCACCCGATTGTACTATCTGCAATGAATAAATGCTGCATACTTAAGTGTGTAAGTGTGGCCATGTTACATTGCCATGCGAGTAAAATGTTCAAGCTAATTATTTTTTAGAGTAAAACGAATACTTTGAAATCCCAAATTATTAATCGCTGCGTAGCGTGGTGATGAAGCGAATAAGAATTTGATTTTTGAAGAAAAATGGGTTCGATCTAAAAAATAATTCGATTAAAAATTTTACGACTATGGTCATGTTACAT